AACCCCCTCCCCCAGACACACAGACACACACACACACACACACACACAGAGCCTAAAGAACGAACCCACTCACACCGTGGGCCTAGAACTTAAGACAGCTTTTCTGAGCAGCCCGGAAATGCTGGTTGTGTTGTTTGCAAACAGCCTCCTTCTGGAGCCCAGGCTGGTTTCTAAGTCCCTGAACCCCACCCCACCCCCCAGCCTCAGTTTCTTGGGTTCTGGGACTGCACGTGGGTGTTACATGTTCTCTCTTGGTTTGCAGAGTCTTATGTCCCATGTAGTATTCAAACTTCGGGCCCCCCTGCCTCCACCTCCGTAGTACAGCCCCCGTGCCCAGTTTTATGTAGTGTAAATGATCAAATCGAGGGTCCGTTCATGCCAGACACACACTCCACATCTGAGCCTCATCCATCCCCTGCCTGTCTGCCATCCGTAAATATTACTTAGCCGGTAATGATGGGGATTGGGTTTAATCCCAGCGCACAGCTTGAGGCAGCTTGAGGCTTGGTAGGCTTCAAGACCATCATGAGCTAGGGAGTACCAAGGTAGCTTCACACAGAGTCTGTCTCAAGAAACAGGCCGGGCGGTGGTGGCGCACGCCTTTAATCCCAGCACTCAGGAGGCAGAGGCAGGCTGATCTCTATGAGTTCCCCGCCAGCCTGGTTCCAGGACAGCCGGGGCTACACACAGAAACCCTGTCTTGAAAAACCAAAAACTAAAAAAAAAGGAGGCAAGCCAGGAGTGGTGGTGCCTGGAGGGTGATGCAGGCTGATCAGGAGTTCTAGGCATCACAGCCCGGAAGAGCTGCTTCTAGCCCCAGCCTCCCGCTTGCAAAGGATCTAGCTAACCTCTTTCTGCCTTCTCCTTTTGTCTCCTCAGCCTCAATGGGCGGCGTGTGCCTCTCTCTGGCTCAAAGACTGTTAAGGGCAAACTGGATGGCAAGAGGTGCCGATACCGGGTCCTCACCAGCAGCCCCCAGGCTGGGGAAGCCACCCTGCTGGCCTCGTCAACAGAGGCAGGCGGGAAACTCACCTGCGCCCCGGCCCCCCATGGAAGCTTAAGGATAATGGAGGGCCTTCAAGAATTTCGCGTCTCTCGGGTCCCTCTGCAGCCCATTCCCACAAGCCTGCCACCTCAGATCCCAGATGGCCAGAGGCAGCGGTTCTCTGCCTTTGGAGGCAGCCCTCCAGTCACGGGGCCTGGGTCAGTCATGGCTCTGAGGTCACCCAGTTCAGGGAAGAAGAAAAAGAAGAGAAAGCTCGAAGAGGCCTCAGCCATTCAGGAGGCAGTGGACGGGCACGGGGCCATGGAGGTGGGCACACCCTGGGGTGGCCTAGAAATGAACAAGAAGAAGAAGAAAAAGAAGCATCGGGCGGATGAGGCAGAGATGGCGGAGCCTTTGGGACTACCATTCCCATCTGCCACCAGCACCAAGAAGAAGAAGAGGAGCAAGTCCAAGGGGGCAGACACATTCCAGCCGGAAGAAGGGCTGGGGTACACGGAACCTGTGGGCAAAATGCAGCCTCCTGATGGGACCATCCTGACCCCCACCAAGAAGAGAAAAAGGCAGGAGAATCCTGAAGGGATGGAGGTGGCGGAGGGCACCATGTCTGGCTCTCAGTCACAGGTCGCTGTGGAACCCCAGGAGGAAGCCATCTCACTGTCCCCCACAAAGAAGAGGAGAAAAGAGAAGAGGCAGAATTTGGTGGTGGAGCCAGAGGCGGGGCTCCCTGGAGCGGTCACAGAGCCTGAACTTTCAGAACACGGGTTTCAGGCCGAGGCAGCTACGGTGTCCCCCAAGAAGACAAAGAAGAAGAAAAAGGAAAAGTGGCTGGGTGAGGAACTGGCCTTGGGGGCCGAGGTGACAGAGGCTGTACTTCCGGCCAACTTTGAGTCCCAGGTGTCTCCAGCACCCAGCAAGAAGAAAGAGAAAGGACAGAAGGTGACAGAGCCCCCATCTGAGATGACTGACCCAAGAGAGTCTGAGGAGCCTGAGGCCGCAGCAGCTCAAGGATCCACAAAGAAGAAGAAGAAGCCGAGGAAGGATCAGGGAAGTGGGGTGTAAGACACCGTTCCCCACTGGAAGATAGCCACCTCGGGACAGGAGAAAAAGCAGAAGAGCCCTAAAAGCACCCTGGGGAAACTGAGGGGGCCCGGGAGGGCTGTCGGAAGTCAGCTGCACGGGAGAGATGAGCCTTTCCCTTCAAGCAAACACACCAGCAGGAGCCGCAGCCTGGAAAATGCTTTATTATGACACTGTAGCCTCAGCGACCTCGGGTCATCGGGGCACTTTGAGGAAGGGTTCATGGAGGACGTCAAAGAGCCTGCGGGCCTAAGGGCAGGGAGAGAATAGAGCTTGTCATTAAAGGCTGTTTGCTTAGAGTGCCGATGTGGATCTTTTTCTCCTGGGATTCTGCTTGACACTAGCCAGGAGGCTGGGCTGTCCCACCCTTTGGGCCTCAGTTTCCCGTGTGTGTGAGAAGCACACATAAGCCCAGCATTTAGAACCATAAAACTAGCCCATTGTGGTGGCCACATCTTTAATGCCAACACTTGGGAGGCAGGGGCAGGTGGATCTTGTGTGTTCGAGGCCAGCCTGGGCTACACAGAGAAACTGTCTCAAATAAGTAAATACACGCCCTGTAATCTCAACAGCTGGGAGGCTGGGACCATATATTAAGTCCAGCTTGAGCTACATGAGAAAGTCTCAAACAATCAAGTAAAAGAAACAAAGAAAACCTTATTTACATTTGAAACATTTGGTGTCAGAATCCTGGGCTGGCCTGGCTAGCTTAGCCAAGGATGACTTTGAACTTCGGATCCTTCTGCCTTATCCAGGTGCTGGGACTTAACCAGGCCTCACAGGCTGCTCTAAGTGTCCACCATGCTTAGTTTAGACAGTGCTGGGATCAGCCGGGGATTTGTGCATGCTAAGAAAGCATTCTATCGGCCTGGTCTATAGAGCAAGTTCCAGGACAGCCTCCAATACAGAGAAACCCTGTCTCGAAAAACCCCCAAAAAAAAGAGAGAGAGAGAGAGAAAGCGTTCTACCAACTCAGCTACATTCTCAGCCCCCAGGAGAAAGCTTTTATGGAGCTGTTTAAATCAAGCATGGTGGCTCATGCTTATGATCAAAGCAGAAGTCAGTGGAACTGAGTTCAGTCAGGCCCAGCCTGGTCTACCGTGAGATCTAGGCCGGCTAGAGCTCTATATTCAGACCCTGTCTAAAAACAGCCATTTAATACAGTGGTTCTCAACCTTCCTAATGCTCTGACCCTTTAATATAGTTCCTCATGTTGTGGTGACCCAATCATAAAATTATTTTGATTGCTATTTCATAACTATAACTTTGCTACTATTGTGAATCATGATGTTAATAACTGTATTTTCCGATGGTCTTGGGTGACCCCATGCAAGGGTCATTTAACCTCCAAAGGGGTACGACCCTCAGGTTGGGAACCACTGATTTAATCGCCCTTCAGGATCTAAAGTTCATTGGTTTGGGGCTCACCCCCCAATCCCTGTGGTGTCCCCCCAGAGTTCTCACCTTCTGGGGGCCCAGGCCGGGGCACAAGGCTAGGTCCTCCCGTGATGCCGTCAAGAGCTGTTCAAGGGACTGAAAGGTGGAACAGAGGGATCAGGATCAGGGGTAGTGGGCTCCTCACCCTAGCCTGTCCCTGCTGCAGGGGGCCCAGGGGACTGTGGGGAAGTCGGGAGGGGATGCCCGGAGGGGAGGGGCTCTTACTCCAAATGTAGCCAGGAGGGTCTGGCTGTCGGTTTTGTTGACTGACTTCACGGTGGTCAGACACTCGGTGGCCTGAGAGAGACAGGATGTTTTCTTAGGACCCGGCTGTCAGGACAGCCTGTGAGTACTGCTTAAAGGGCAGCTGCAGGGAGAGTCCCTAGAGTTTGAGGCCAGCCTGGTCCACAGCCATTTTCAGGCCTGCTGGGGAGATTGTTCAGTGATTAAGAGCACACACCCCACTTCCAGAGGACCCAGGTTCAGTTCCCAGGACCACCCTGGGTGACTCACTTTTTTGGAGCAGGGTCTCCAGATGTAAGCCTGACTGGCCTACAATTAGGTAGACCTGGCTGGCCTGAACTCACTGAGATGCCCCTGCCTCTGCCTCTCTAGTGCTGGGATCAAAGGCGAGCACCACCATGGCTGAGCTTTTAACTTGGCTGGGTGGGCAGGGCCAGGTCACACTGGCTGTGTCGGGTGAGTCTCTTCTCTATTCCCTTGGGATAAGGGGAGCACCTTCCCTGGGGCTTATGGAGGGAGCCGATGTGTCCAGTGTGGGAGACACGAGGCCCTTAACTGCTACTGGGCCCTGTGGCTGGGTCACTTCCCAGGAAAGCTCCCAGCAACGAATGCAGAGTCCCTCATTAGCACTGAAAATCATCAGTCCGTTCACAAACATAACATCCCAGTGGCCAGAGTGCTGGGTCAGGATGGTTCCAGCCTGGCACTATGGGCTACTAGGCTGAGAGGATGAAGGAGGGCTTCCTGGAGGAGGCGGCATCAGAGCTGGCATGGACATGTAGATTCTAGCAGAGGGATGGTAGATGCTGAGGGCAGGAAGGGGGTCAGAGCTAAGGGGGACGAGGTCTAGTTTGTACTTGAGAGATCCTTGCAGCTGGTAGGCAAGGATGAGGGAGGGCTGGACAGGGCATGAGGGCAACAGTGTGGATGGACTTGCTTGGAAGGAACAAGCCACTCAGGGTCAGGAGGTCACCAGGACAAGGGAGGCAGTCTCACCCGGGACAGGAAGTTCTGCTCCAGCTTCTCCATGAGGAGGTCAGCGGGCTTCTGCTCATATGCCTTGTAGGTCTCCAGGTACCGTCCTGCTTCCTCGGCACTGGGTACAGGACACAGGTCAGCCAGGATGAGGGCTATCATTCAGGATTCTCCTTCATAGGACTGCTAACAATTTCAAAAACTAGGCCAATCCCAGCCCCAACTCCCTGCAGGGTAGGTTCTCAGACATATTATTTAGTCATGCTGGGGACGGAGTTCTAGATACTGTAGAGCTAGACACTCTACACTGAGCCACGCCCCCAGCCCCTCACTGGGGGATTCTAGGCAGGGGCTCTACCACTGAGCCACACCCCCACTGGGGGATTCTAGGCAGGGGCTCTACCCCTGAGCCACACCCCCATCTCCCTTTTCTCCACTGACAAAGGGTCTCACTGTGTGTCCCTGCCTGGCCTTGAACAGCCTACCACTAGGATGACAGATGTCTCCCATCACACCCAGCCTAAGATTTTTTTTTCTTTCTGAGGGTCTCATATAACTCATGCTGGCTTTGAACTGCTGACTTAATAAAGATTCTACTGCCCTTCTGATCCTCCTGTCTCCACTTCCCAAGTACAGTTGGCATTACAGGCATGAGCCACTCTGCTGGGTTTCTGCAGTGCAGCGATAGAACCCAGGACCTGCTGCCAGGAAGCCGGCACCCGCAAACACTGACGTGTCCCTTTCTAAGTTGAACGCTATTAATTTACCAGGGTTTAATTTTTCTTATGGTGGCTGTGAGGAAGGGTGTCTTTCTTTTTTTCTTCCCGAAATGGACGATCTGTGTGTGTGTGTGTGTGTGTGTGTGTGTTTTCTATTTGTGGTTTGTTGGTATGCATTTAAATGACCTCTATATATCTAGGCATGCATGCAATAACAGCACTTAGGAGGCTGAGGCAGGCAGACTGCTGTATTCTAGGGTAGCCTTGGCTATGGAGACTCTGGGGAACAGAACAAACCAGAAACACTAGATAATGATTCCTTCAGTCATTTGGTCTAACCTGGGCATATCTGACCTCTGTCACCCGCCTTGCTGGGCAGTGGTGGCACACACCTTTAACCCCAGTACTTGGGAAGCAGAGACAGGTGGATCTTGAGTTCGATGCCAGCCTCATCTACAAATCAAGTTCCAGGACAGCCAGGACTGTTACACAGAGAAACTGTCTTGAAAAATAAAACAAAACAAAAAATGAGAAAAGACCCCATCTTACACATGAGAATGTTGAGGCTCAGAGAGGCGGCGGGGCCCCCACCC